ACTTAGATATAGGGACAGACTCTTCACCTCTTCAGCGTGGTCTTGGACTAAGCTGGATCCTTGAATATGATGCCTTCATCTTCCAGGCTCCTAAGCAAGAATGATCCTTCACTTAGTCAGGCACATCCTCTATAGCTGTACATTGCTGTACATCACTGTATCGTGCAAGGCCCTCATCGGAGACCATACCACTGATCTATGTGACTGCTAAAGAAAAGAAATGGAATGCACAGAAAAACGGTGGGGTCGAACTCCGGTACATACCCAAATCGTATGTCTCTCTGTTGTCAATGCAGCACCAAAAACATTGTTTCTTCTCAGATGAGTCGTTTATTGAAACTACAGCTGTCATTGGCAAGTTTGTAACTATTATAACTAACTAACTATTCACAAAGGTTTTACACGTACGTATCCAAAAAATGACTCAAGAATTAGAAATAGGGTGGGTTTAAAAACTTGATTTCCCATTTCAAATCGATTTTCATTTGAAGAATATCGATTCATTAAGTCCTGAAATACATTTTTAAATATAAATGAATTTTGCCAGAAATGCCAGAATCTCAGCTAAAAGCTCACAAAAGTATTTCAACACCCACTAAACTGCTAAAACAGCAAACGATTGAAGAGCAGGTAAATGGTTTCCACATAAATATCTGAACACAAATTGCGGTTAGTCTGGCAACAATGGACACGCCTTTGGGTGCTGAAAGCTGACAGATTTGCAATCTCACAGACTGCACAGCTGCAGGCTTTGTCACTCTGTCCAAAATTCACTGATCCAACAGCAAAGGAAGATCAAAACTACACTTGAAAAACATTGTCATGAATTCCATCTTACTTTGGTTGTCTTGCTTCCACCACGAGAAAACCCATTAAAAATCCATTAAAAATCTCTATTTTTCTGCGTGATTCTCTTTGTTATTACCCACCAGTCTACCGTTGTGTAGAGCACTGTCGGCCGCTGGTTTTTTTTTAAAAATTTTATTTATTTTCCCAAAATTTGCTCTAACAGGAAAACCTAATTTCTGCTTTTCAATAACAAAGAAATTTCAACTTTTACAACTTATGCTAAATTGCAAAACGCTTATCTGTGTCTCTAACAAACTTCTAACTTTGCTCTGCTTCGCTTCAGCAGCATCAGATAATCGTCAAATGTTGATTCATAGTTTCCTTCAGTTTTTGATCTCCTGCAGATCGTTTTCAAGGGGGTCATAATGCTGTAAAAGACCAGGCCAAAAAGAATCTTGATATTTTTCAGTTTTATTCTCAGTTACTTTGACACGAAGGCATCTGCTGTGATCCTTGAACCTCTGATTAAGTCTCACAACTATCAGCTTTGCTTTTAATCCAAGATAGTTTACACTGAGTGTGTAATTGCAGAGAAATTGTCACGGTCCTGGATCGGTGACCCAGTGTTTTATACCTGTTTAATTTGTTTCTTGATTATTTGTTTTTCATGGTTATCAATGTTAGTGTTTTGGTTCCTGTTCAAGTATTTCTAGCTCTATTCCTGTTCCGTTTTGTGTCTGCTCTGTGCCTTCCTGTCCCATGTTTCAGGCCTCTGTCTCCCCGGTGACTACTCTCTTTTGCTTCCTCCCAGTCTTGTCTCATCTGATTAGTGTCAGCTGGTTTTCCCTGCCTAACTGCTATTTCTTTGTTTCCTTGTCTGTGTGTATATAGTGTATACGAGGATGTTGGTCCGTCTGTCTGTCATGCCCTGCTCTCTGTCTCCTCACGCTTCGAGGTTGTGAGATTGTTACATCTTATTATATCTTATGCTACCTTATACTTCTAATCAAAGAATTGTTGAATCATTATACAGTACATATACAAGATAAATGATCACAATTATAATATAATAATATATTTATAATATTTCAAAATCAAATTGAGGCAAATCAAATCATGACCTTGCGAATCAGAATTGAACGAGTTGTAGAAATCAGTGACAATATCAGCCCTAATTAGAAAGTCCACTACACAGACTCGGTGGCACAATGCTGCAAAGCAAAATGCAATCTAGCTAACAGTGGGACATGGAGAATTTATAAACGACTTTATAAACTTTATAAAATGGGTGAAGAACCTTTCAGACCGGAATCTCACTGAACCTGAAAAGAAAGTATTAGCTAAAGGTCTCAATTTTGCCATTTCTCCGCAACATTCGCCCTAGTGATGGGTCGTTCGCAAACGAAATGGCTCTTAGAGCCGACTCTTTGACGTGAACGACGCGAGCCGGCTCCTTATCGCGAGCTGTCTCCTTATCGCGAGCCGTCACCTGGTTGTTTTTTTTTTTTTTTTTTTCTTTCTCTCAGCCTCTCTCTCGCACTTTTTTTCCGTTTCACTCTGCACGCGAGCCTTGTGCTTTACGCTGGGCAGAGGGGGGAGGGGCGGTAGTTACACTCAGTAGCACAGAAACAGAGCCAGAGAGAGAGAAAGAGAGGCAGGGACAACAACATTAGAAAGGTATAGTAATCATCCACAACTATTTTCGGTTGCAGATGATAAAGGATTGAGAAAGTTTATTCATGCAGGTCCATATGACAGAGAATATGCATGTTCTTTTAGTTTTCATATTATAATTTATATTTAATTGTGTTGTGGTTTGCAGTGTTTTGTGTTCTTTTCACTTTAAATTTGTGAAAGGAAAAAGCTGAAAATTTAAATAGTTAAAACTTGAAATGTGAATAGTTGATTTTTGTATTAGATGATTTATTTATTACATTTTATGTGGAGTGAATAAATAAAAGTATATTTACGGTGGCCCCTAGAGACAAAGCACACACAAACTTCAAATCACGTACGAACTCTGAAGCATGTACAAACTCCAAAACACGTAAAAACATGTACAAACTCCAAAACATGTAAAAACTCCAAAACACGTAAAAACACGTACAAACTCCGAAGCACGTAAAAACGCAGAAGCATATAAAAACTCAGAAGCACATAAAAACTCAAAACACGTACAAAAAACAACAGAAGTGCTCCAGGATGCTGGGCGCAGTGTTGAGCCTTTGTTATCTTGTGGCTACACAAGCCAGCAAGTACCAATGACCGGATTTGGTGTGTGGTAATAACAGGTAAATGAACTTTTTTTTAAATTATTTGAATATATATATGAGTGCCTGTGTATAAATACACAAACAATACACACATGCTTTCAATTGTGTAATTTAAGTGATCTAGTAGCTGTGCTTTGGAAGTTCAGTTCATGCTAGAAATGTGTTTTGGAGTTTGTACGTGTTTTGTCTCTAGGGGCCACCGCATATATTTATATATAAACATATATAAATAAAACCACTTTTTTTTTACGTTAGTAATTCCTTTTGTGCATAATTTTATATTATTGTTAATAATAAATTAATTAAAGCAACAAAACAACCTGAAGAGCCGGTTCAGAGCCGAAAGAGCCGGCTCTTTTTAGTGAGCCGAACCGAAAGAGCCGGATCTCTAAAAAGAGCCGGAAATCCCATCACTAATTCGCCCATAGTGGACCTCATCACAGCCACAGAAACCGCCATATGGATTAATAAATCATCACAGACAGAAGCAGAGCAAATCAGGATGAAAGTCTCAGCCACCCTCTCCAGTGCCAAAGTCCCGCCGTCTAACCTCACATTACAAGAAAAGAAGGCCGTCGCTTCCCTGAGCAAAGACCACAACATCACTATATTACCAGCTGATAAGGGAAGATGCACCATGGTCCTAAACACAACGGATTACCAGACAAAGATCACGACTCTCCTCAGTGACACCAGACACCAGCGATGGAGGATAAGAAAGACAGATGCAACAACATTGTCATCCCCTATGTAGCCGGTGTATCAGAGAAACTCAGGAGAGTTTTCTCCAAGCATGACATCCTGGTGCATTTCAGACCCAGCAACACGCTCAGACAGACACTGGTTCATCCCAAAGACAAAACTCCAAAACACAAACTTAACAATGTGGTGTATGCTGTGCAGTGCAGCGAGGAATGCCCAGACCTCTACATTGGAGAGACCAAACAGCCACTTCACAAGCGCATGGCACAACATAGAAGAGCCACCTCCACAGGACAAGACTCAGCAGTTCATCTGCATCTAGAAGACAAAGGTCACTCTTTCGAGGATGCCAACGTTCACATTTTGGACAGAGAGGACAGATGGTTTGAAAGAGGAGTGAAAGAAGCCATCTATGTCCACTGTGAGCGACCATCTTTGAACAGAGGCGGTGGTTTACAACACCAACTGTCTGCCATTTATAATCCAGTTTTGAGAACCCTCCCCAGACGCCTTAACGCCCACTCACATCCTGGGCCAGCTGACCTCAGGAAATCACATGATAGGGTGGGGCCAGGTTTCACAACTAGCTCACCCAAAACCCTGGCTGATTGTGACCCACACCCATTTTCACGCCTCGGCTCATGTGATTAGGTAGAGGATCATCAGGGGGGTCCTTTGTCCCTCTTTGGGGGGAAACTCCCACTAGGTTTAAATCTGGGACTCTCCACCATTTGACCCTAGAACTGAGGAAGCTTCTCGGATGAGAGGTGAAACGTCTTCAAGCAACTTAAACAAGTCCAGACGCTTTTCTTTCCAAGCTCCTTAGACTATGATGACCTGGATGACTGAGAATCTTCATATTGAAAACACCACAAGGACACAACCACACAGTGCATGACACAAAGCATCAGTGTAAAATCTGAAACAAATGCTTCATGGTGGATCTTTGCAGATTTTAAAACTGAATCACTCATTTGACCAGAAAAGTCTCAGAAAAGTAGGATAAGACAACAAAAATGGGGTGCAGATTTGTTTTTATTGAGCCTGTAAAACATCGCTATTACTTCAACAATAAAGTACATTTACATTTGTAACTAAACTTCAAATGGGCGAATCATCATTCCCATCATTTATGTTAACTCTCTTAATTTTCTTGAAAACTAGGAAATCAACAGTAAGAATTTAACATACTAAATGATTACATTCTTGCTTTTACAAGTAAATACATGAGAACAGACTCTGAGCAGCATCAGATTTCTACGAGTGTTACTTTGTTTGAACGACCACTGTTGGTTGAGACATGAAACCAGTTGCAACTGGTTGTGCAGGCAGCATCATCACTCCTGGCTGAAAAGTTGGAATAGGCTGCATGTTGACAACAGTGTTATTCTGTATGTTGATGACAGTCGGGGTTTTCTTGCGATGCCTTAACTCACGATGCATCTGACACCAGGAGCACCACTCACAGAAACAGGAAATTGCAATGTCCTTACAGAGAGAGCCCTGCAGAAAGAGAGTACAAGCATTACAGATGTGGTGTAATTCAGGTGGAGGAGCAGGTCATCTACCAACCAGAAGTTTGGTAGATCAATCCCTGGCTCTTCTGGTCCACATGTCACAATATCCTTGCAGCAGATACTGAGTATGTGTGTGAATGTTTGACAAAAAAACATTTAGGCATAGTTGAAATCAAATATGGATGTTTTTGATTCAGTGAGTGAGACTTGTAATTCCCACTAAGGCTACGTTCACACTGCAGGTCTTGATGCTCAATTCAGATTTTTTGATCAAATCCGATTTTTTTGTCTGCTCATTCACACTACAAATAAAATGTGACAGCAAACGTGCTCCAGTGTGAACGCTCAAAGCGGCCCGCATGCGCAAAAGAAGACGTCACACATAACGCGCTCTGTTTAGACCCAGAGCAAAAAAATATTGTTTGACTGATGGCCCTTAATATAAAGACTTCGGATTGTACATTTCCCAATTTTTGCTTTAAGTTATTGTGTTATTTACATAATAATGTAAATAACCTAATAATGATCCTTATTGCTGTTTTAGAGAGGAGCGGTGCTTCAAAGGATAGTTGCAGATTTCTGTCAGAATCTGCAGATTATACAGTACAAATAAAATGTTCACGTTGTCTTCCCAAGAGTTTCGCTGGATGGCCAGGCAGCGTTCACGATGTCTTCTCCGGCGGTGATAATTGGCGTCTGTCTTGTGTCAGTGACGTAAAAGACGGATTTAATGCGACATGACCGTTCAAACAGCAGTCGCTTTCTAAAACATCGGATATGTATCGGATTCAGTACCGCATACGAAAGTGACCCAGGTCGAATTTGTTCAGTGTCATCATCTCACGGTTCATACCTTGATGCCATATCTGTTTCGCATGGCAGCTCTTACAGACAAAACTGCAGGAGGAACACAAACAGGTATCCCAAAGGCTGCTAATACACCAGAGCCACATATATCACATAAAGGGAGACAGTTGTTCTCTCCAAATCTTCCTGAAACAGTGCAGGCAAGACAGGGGCAGCACCAGAATCCATAGCAGCCTGAAAAACACAGAAACGCATCAACAAAGTTGTAACAAGTCTCAAAAGATGAAGGCAACACAAATCAGAACAACTTGTAGTCCTGAAAATACAAATATAATTTATGAGTCAATCATATTTAAATGGCTTCTTACAAGTACGTGCATCCTCAAAGCAGTCACAAAGACCACTGTCCCAGTCTGTCAAAGGTTTTTCTGCCATTGTATATTGAACTTCACCCACAGACACTGAACGATCACTCTGTGAAAGTCGAGAAGCAGAAAAAGCCAAATTAAATGAAATTCAAAATGTTAATTTTGAAGTTCTTTCTATCAAACTTGTTCACGAGACCTGAGACATTCAAATATTTGTAGCAATGGGAAAGTTTAAGTAGAGAAAAAAAGTATATGTTGTGGACACATGCACATAGATATGAAACCAAAGTGCATGTTAAGGATATTGTGGTCATTTTGTAAGTCGTCAGTTAAGCTTGATTAATATATCCATAATTCACAAGACATTTTATATATCAAGGTAAAAATTCTACAGCATTACAGAAAGACACCCCCAAACATCGATAATGAACAATGGTTTGGAAGTGAAAGTATATTACGCTTACAGTTCAGACAGTGTAATCTACTTTAACTGTCCACTACACCAGACAGCTTAGAATTTGGATGTGGTTTGCCTTCGGGAATACTAATAACACACATAACAGTTTACATAAACCTTAGATTTTTACAGTCACACCGTAATGATGACCTCTGTTTCTCCGACCACTAAGTTGATGTAAAATGAATTGAATGAAAACTGGAACATCTTACCTGCTATTGCTGGACACCCTTTGCGCACCTCTGAAACTTAATGAATAAAAGGATCCTTGGCTCTTTGGATAAGGAGTGTCAGTGGCATTTGGGCCAACACAAACAATGCTGCCAAGCCTGAAACTCTGGAAATGGAAACATGAAACTAAAAGTGACTTTCCATTATGTGGTAATTGCGGGGGCGATCGTGGCTCAAAGAGTTGGCAGTTCGTCTTGTAACCGGAAGGTTGCCGGTTTGAGCCCTGGCTCGGACAGTCTCGGTCGTTGTGTCCTTGGGCAAGACACTTCACCTACCGCCTACTGGTGTTGGCCAGAGGGGCCGATGGCGCGATATGGCAGCCTCGCTTCTGTCAGTCTGCCCCAGGGCAGCTGTGGCTACAACTGTAGCCTCCACCAGTGTATGAATGTGAGAGTGAATGAATAGTGGAATTGTAAAGTGCTATATAAATGCAATCCATTATTATTAATAACTGCATTCCAGGTGGTTTTTAAAGGAAAAGCAAAAACAACTGAAAAGGGTGCTTATTATAAAAGAGAGTCCTAAGTGCTAAAAGAAAAATAAACAGTTAAGTGTTTTTCAGTTGCTTTTTGGAACAGGAACTAATAATTATAATTATCATGTTTTTCTTAAGAATCCTCAAAATACCGATCTGTAACTTTGATACATATGTGACCACACCATGCCAGTGTTACACACGTAGGGAATTGATAAGAATTTAGCGATTCTTATTCCAACATTGATATCCCTCATTGATTAAAATCCTTATTGATTCTTGTCAATGGAAAATTGTATTTAGTAGTCAGTATAATCTTTTAATGATATAAGTTTGCATATGGTAGAATACTACATGTAATCATTTGTGTTTAGAAGTATATAGTTGGTGGCATATTGAAAGAATGTCTCATTCTAGGAGGTCTGTAACATTCCAGGGTGTTCTGGCGTTCACCCCCACATCCTAGGAGCATGGGAGAGGTCGTACCTTGTTTTATTGTTTTACGGTAGGATTAACGTAGCTATGTCAGTTTTAGTCTAAGTGCCTTCTTTACATATAGATGAACTGTTGGATTTTCCAGACCAGCAGGTTAAGGGAAGTCGTTTATGCGGTCTCACACACGCACACACACACACTCGTACACCTCCACATTCCAATGTAAGAAACAAACGCTCACTGAAGTATAAATAAAGACCGGGGCAGTTTCTCAGCACGAGTCTCAGTGCTGGAGGCTCGCCCTTGCTAGCAAGAAGTTCTGTGTGTTTCTCTTCTCTGAGTCTCTACTGAAGAAGTGTTTTAGAGTATACCTCTTAACAATTCTCATTTGCTCCAGTTTGAGAGTCACCACCATCTCTAAGTAGCATATCAACGACATTACATTCATGCAAACTAATTACACGGTGCGTGGTCAAATGTTTGTGAATGTTGTTTTCCCTCTTTGTTGTGATCAGTGTTGGGGTCATAACTCCAAAATAGAAAAGTAAAAAAGTTGTTACACATATTACACAGAACACTTTTCTTAAAAGTAGTGCAGTATGTTACTTATTACACCCATGAGAAAGCCATGTTGTACTACTCGTTGTTACTTTCCTGTTACTATGTAAAATGATTTGAAACACAGTGTCTCATAATTGTGTGGATGCCGTAGGCAAAAGTGGTAAGACTTTTGGTGCTCATAACTTCTATACTTTTTGAGATATTGAATTTTTTTTGCAATGTTTTTTGCCTATTTCTGCATATTATCAGTGGCCTCACTGATTTTCCTTGCCGGGTTGACCTGTGTTTTAGCTCAGTGAGATGAGCATCCGTTCTCGGAGTGGGAGGCCTGGGTTCAAATCCCGCTTATGGCAACATTTCTTTCAGTCAACAGTTAAACTTTTTTTAACTCTTTTTCAACACAAATTTAAGCTTTTTCACCCCTTTTCAGCACAATTTTCAGTTTTTTCACCACTTTTCAGCACAAATAACAGCTTTTTCAGCTGTTTTCAGCACAAGCCTCTTTTCAGCAGAATTCTGCTCATTCAACTCTTTTCAGCAGAATTCTGCTCATTCAACTCTTTTCAGCAGAAATTTTGCTGATTGAACTCTTTTCAGCAAAATTTTCAGTTTTTTCTGCTGTTTTCAGAAAAAACCTATTTTCAGCAGAAATTCTGCTGATTCACCTCTTTTCTGCAAAGTTTTCAGCCTTTTCACCTCTTATCAGCACAATTCTCAGCCGCTTCTGCTCATTTCAGCACAATTGTCAGTCTCTCCACCACTTCTTTGTGAGAAAGAGTTTGGCGCAGTGAGATGAATAGCCGCCTACAGACCAGAAGGGCCAGGTTTGAATCCTGCTCAGGGCAACATTTTTTTTTTAACGTAGTATCTCTGCCAAGTCATAGAATTACTGCAATTTCATAGTTTTTTTTTAGGAAATCTGTTATGTTATAGTATTACTACTAAGTCATAGTATTTCTGCCAAATCATAGTCACTAGGGGGCTGACTGTTTACTAAGTGCATCAGTGTAAATAGGTCATCTCTTGTGTTGGAGTGCCCTCTTGTGGCGCCTTTTGGGTAGTGCCTTAGTAAACGTGAACCAAGCAAAAGCCTCTTTTCAGCAGAATTCTGCTCATTCACCTCTTTTCAGCAGAAATTCTGCTGATGGAACTCTTTTCAGCAGACTTTTCAGAATTTTCACCTCTTTTCTGCCCAAATTCTGCTTATTCACCTCTTCAGAAAAAATTTCAGCCTTTTCACCTCTTATCAGCACAATTCTCAGCAGCTTCTGCTCATCATTCAGCACAATTGTCAGTCTCTCCACCTCCGCTTTGTGAGAATGACTTTGGCTCAGTGAGATGAGTAGCTGCCTTGAGACCAGAAGGGCCAGGTTTGAATCCTGCTCAGGGCAACATTTTTTTCAACTTTTTCAGCTTTTTTCAGCAGACATCTTCAGCGTTAAGGAATCCACACAGCATTTTCGCAGGAAATGCAAATTTTTCAATCAGAATCAGAATCAGAATACTTTATTGATCCCTGGGGGAAATTATTTTTTGTTACAGTGCTCCATTTTAAACCAACATTAAGACAAGACAGACAATACACTAACTAAGAATAGTACAATATATACATATATATACATACATACATACATAAGTCACTTATAAATAAATATTTGGAAAAGAAACATGTGTAGTTGTAGCAGCAAACAGTGTGTTAAGTGGATGCGTTGTACAGGGAGATGGCCACAGGCAGGAATGATTTCCTGTGTTGTTCAGTGGTGCTTTTCGGTAATCTCAGTTTCTCAGTCTCATTCTAGTTGCCAATTAACATTATAAACCTGTGGCTACAGCCCCACACACCAACACTAGTCCCTGTCCTAATGAGGACACACATGTTCTTTCTCTTAGTATTTAAGTATGAACGCAAAGCCGACAACACAAAGCAAAGATAAAAACCACCACGGAGAGACTTCAAAGCAATGATTCTACTTTATAACCATGATGATGAACGTTAGATAGAAAGCATTTACGTAGAAAGAGCTTAGAAAGAAAGTGCTTGTGTGAATGGGTGAATGAGGCAAACTGCGTAAAGCGCTTTGGAGAGCTCAGATGCAGTAGAAAAACGATATATAAGAACCAGTCCATTTACCATAATCGTCCCACAACCTGGTCAAGGAATGGGCTCAGCCTCGACAAAGAACTTATTTTCAAAACTAGTTCCCCTCTTCCAGCTGTTTAACTTTATCCTTGAATGCTAACTGTTAAACATCAAGGATCACCCGAAAATTTGCAGTATTTAGGGGTTTTAAGGGTTTTCCCTCGAAACCTTAGATCTCTGCATCATGTTCTGGTTTGACCAGATCAAACATACTTCATGTCTCAGATGTAAATAGCTGCTGTTAGAACTTCAGGAACCAAGGATGAGTGAAAAAACTTGTCTTGGTGTACTTGCTGGTGTACTTCTCATGTATTTACTTGCAGACTTGCTGTTATTTGCCCTGTCGCAATGTTAGCTAAGTTGTGATCCTTTGAAACATGGTGCCACTGAGTCTGTGTAGTGGAAGTACTAATTCTTGAGACTTTTTTGGGTACATACATTTAAAACCTTCGTGAAGAGTCATTGGTGTAATATAAAGCGTGCAACTCAAGCCTCATCAAGGCACCAGCTTGGTTTTTACCATGATGAATCCAATGTAGCGCTGTCCGTCTCCATTAAGAGCAAGGGCAGCGTTGATGAAATCTGTAATTTCAATCAACAACTCATCTGAGAAGAAACAGTGCTATTGTTGCTGCATTGAGAACAGAGGCAATGAGACATAAGGTCTGGGTATGTACAGGAGTTCGACCTCTAAAAGGGAGTCTTTCTGTGCATTCCATTTCTTTTCTTTGGCAGTCACATGGATCAGTGGTAAGGTCTTGGATGTTAGCCTTGCACTGTACAGTGA